AAGTACAAATGAAAATAAAGCCTTTTAAAACTTTTGCATGGTAGAAACAGAAGCTGCTGTTCATATTAGTGACAAATAACAGTAACAACAGCTTTTTGACAAGTTTAAAGTCTCTTTAAAACACATTAAAAATATAAAACACAAACTACAAAAATTAATTTGATAAAGTGCAAATTAAAATATAGTTGTATCTGCAACTGTATTTGATAATGTTTTGTATTTTAAAATATTGCATGGTCAAAACAGAAGCTGCTCTTCATATTAGTGACAAACTTTGGCCGTTTTTGATGGGATGCCTCCAGTTTTGCTTCTACTTTTCATTTAAAATAAGTTTCCATTCTCAGCAGGTTTCTAAGGTTCTTCTTCTACATATTAAAAAAGTTGTTAAACATATGAGTGGTGCACTACTGCTACTAGTGGTGAGAAAGTGTACTGCATCTTATTCAAAATCAACGCAGTCCTTGGCACTCTGCGGCCCAAAGTTAAAAACTGTTGTTCTTGGGGGCCGCGGCCCATGGGTTAAGAATCTCTGTGTTAAATCTTACAATCCAACATCCTGAGCAGCACACTGGTGACAGTGGAAGGAAACACCTTCTTTTTAACAATAAGGAACCTCCAGCAAAACCAGAACCAGGATGGGCAACCATTGTGAGGTTCACTGGTGGAATGACCCAGGGTGCAGGCAAAATCTAAAAGGCAAAAACAAGCTCTTTAATGGAAACAAAAAGAAGGCTGTCGTGGCAACAAAAACTTACGAGGTCTCAGGAGGAACACGGAAGACAGCACAGAGCAATGATCGGACGCAGACTGAAGACAGGACATAGAATTTAAAGGCAAACAAATTAAGGTCAACAAGAAACACCTGGGGGAGAAACAAGAGGAAACAGGTGAGCATGGGCTGGGCTGGAGCAGGGCAGAGATACACAGGGAACACTGAAACACTAGAAAACTAAAGCAAAGACACAGATCATGACAACCAGCTGCCACAACGTTTGCAACCGCAATTCCAACGAAGTTGAGACGTGCATCCTGACTTGTGGATGACTGAGCCTTTCAGGGATGCTCCCTTTATACCCAATAATAAAGAATTACAGTAATCCAGTCTAGACGTGATAAATGCATGAATCAGTTTTTCTAGTGATATTATGCAGGTGGAAGAAGGTTTGAAAAGTTTATTCCTAAGATGCTGAAGTCCAAAAACCACAACCTCGTGAATTTCTTCAGGTTAAACAATTTAAACCTTTAGGAAATTTAAATGAAATGTTTGGTTATGGTTTGTTGAAGTGTTGATTAAAGATGAGCGGCTGTGTTTTCTGTCTTACAGCATCGTTCGACTGTTTTCATCAGACAGAAAGAGAGTCGAGAACTCCCTGGAGTGCTGCAAACTGCCCTACGGACGGGTAAAGAAAAGTTTGTATCACTAGAAGTGACAGAAAACAGTTTCCTTTGTGCTGTTTCAGGCACAAAGCAACCTGCTTTAACTTTCATACGTCTCGTTGCATCTCTGACAAACTTTCATTTCTTTTATTTAAACCAGATTTAAATCCCATTGAGATCAAAATCTCATTTTCAAGGGGGACCTGACCACAAATAAAAATGATCTGCTTTACTTTAAGTCCTTGAGTTGCAGAAGCACACAGTTCTGTCACCTGATGTTGAACATGTTTCAAAACCTTTTGCAAATTTTCATAGAGTCACTGTGTGTGTCTCCAAACTGTTTTAAGTTAGATTTTGATACCTCTGACAGAAAACATGTTCAGGTCTGTGCCAGCAATAAATAATTATTATTTAAAAATACATACAAATATGCCCATTTTACTCTGTTTTTCAAAAATAAAAAAGGCAACTCCTAACTGACAAAGTGACAGTTTTCTGCTTTTACTGGAGACTTTTAGAGACTCTGACATGAAATCATGTCCTCTTCTCATCAAGCAGTGCCAACACGAGTCCATCCGCCAACTTTTAGGACAGCCAATAGCTGCTTTCCTTATGAGTTGGTAATACTGCAGGTACATGTGGGTGGAGGTGCTTAATGAAGTGATAACTGTGCACACAAAAAAAGGTGTGATTAAATAAAAACCTGACCACACAAAACACAGCCTCACAGCTCCCTGGGCACAAACACTCAGAAAGTTGCAGAGGTTGTAATGAAAGTTGATGACGGTTAAAGTCAAACTGTGAAGATGCCAGCACAGAATACTGTTGTCTCGTTTATATCCAGAGATGATAGATTAACTCATGTGACTGAGTGTGAGTTACAGTGGGTAAAATAAGTATTGAACACGTCAGCCTTTTTCTCAGTAAATATATTACTAGAGGTGCTAATGACATGAAATTTTCACCAGATGTTGGTAACAACCCAAGTGATCCATACATACAAAGAA